GGGCGGCGGGAGGCAGCGCGCGCCGCCCGGGCCAGCACCGGCACCGCGGCCACCGCGACGTGGAGGCCGGGGCAAGGAGCACCGGCACCAGCGGCCTGAGGGCGAGACGGGCCGCCGCGCTGGACAACGGCCGCGTGGTAAAACGGGGGCGAACGGGAAACCCTCTAGCGAAGCGGCACTTCGTTTTGAGCCTTCGGGATGGCTGTCGAATTATTTCGCCAAATGTCTGGAGTTTTTGCTAACGCGTAGCGGAAGTTTCCCTCAGCTGTTCAGCCAGAACTGTAACGAGTCCTCAGCTGGCCAGCAGTAACAAGAAGCCTCAGGCAAACGCCCTCTTAAACCATTAAGTTTAGAAGAAAATCGTCTCTTTAAACACTGCCTGAAAGGGTAACTGTAGCAATATACTAAATAAAGCAGAACCATCTACAAACTAACAGTATTTATAGGCTGAAATGAGATGACGACAAAATGCAGTTTGTAATCTCACGTCCTTAGGAAATACAAGGATGGTTTATCCGTGATCTATACTTTAATTCCTGTTACTCCAGTCTCAGGAGAAAAGCCCTGCTCACTGGCAGGGCCACAGCAGCTACAAAGGGCTGCACTTCACTGTATTTTTTGAGTACATAAATATTTGTGTTCAAGCTAGTCTTTGAGATCTCCAAATAGAAAACCTCAGGAAAGGCAATATAAACAGAAGGCAATATAAACTCTGCTTGCAAAGTATAGTGCTGGCTAACAGAGAGACTGCTCTGGGTAAACAAGCGCCAGGCTCCTTCAAAATCCCAGGATAACTGGGAATCCAGTCTATGTAGCAGTCTGGGAAAGCGGAGACTTTGGCTTGTTATTGGGACCGCTTTTGCTAACGATAATGCAGCATTTTCTATACTCAGCTGTGAAACCCGGTCTGAGATAACCGGTCACTCACCTGCCACGCAGAGCAACTGCCATAACAAAATACCCAGTAGTACACTGCTATGGCAAAATCAGCTCCAGTGCCCAAATATACATCGAGTTATCTTGATGTCATTTGCTGAAATGGCAAAAAAAAGCTGCCAGGTAATTGCCCGGTATTTGCTGACTAAGCAACAGGCTGGTTTTAACATTAAATGTCAGTTATTTTAGCACCCCTGGGTTGACAACAGAGCAATCCTCCTGCCGCAAGCAGAAGGAGCAAAGCAAGCTTAGGGGGAAGGCGAGATTCACATTCATGCCTGGTTACTCAGGAACACAAATCACAAAACGGGGAGGGATTGAGATACTTTTTATCAGAGGAGCAGGGACTATGCTCGCTCCTGGTACCCAGAAGAAACATGCAAAATCTTACTATATTTAAAGGGGGGGGGAATCATTTATCTCGGAGGCTTTCAGGTATCTGATGAATACTCAGTGCAGATCAATTAACTGATCATACGCACAACAAAGATGCTTAGTTTTCAGCAGAGATCTCGATCACATAAATGACAGTCTCCTTGGTCTACGCCAATTCACATTTTCCTATTGGACAAAGCATTCCAGAGAATAAACTACCTGATTCTTAGAGGCTGTCCCTAAATTTTCTGCCTGTCTTCAACTATTTCCTCAAGTTGAGCTTCTTTCCATTCTTGTCACTCACAAGCTCCCTTGTCGCCACCAAAACCTTCATTATTCCCAGCTCCCTTTCTGTAGCTTCAGTGACACAAACATTTTTGCTCATTTTTGCTCTTCCTACTTCACACCAGCCTCTTGCTACTCTTCATGTAACTGCAGTCTACTCCTTCCTCACTATTTGCTACTCAGATACAGTCCAAGTATACGCACATGCAACTGTGGTATCTGTGACTTGTCTTCTGTCCAGTCTTCCTATTCCAGTTTAAACAAATCTCTTCCTACTTAATATCTCTTCTTACTTCTGTTTCTCTCCTTGAATGCTTTCCCAGTAGTTTATCTTTTTGTACTTCAAATCCAAACACCTTGTCCTCACTTTACAGTCCTAAATTAATCAGTCAAATTAAGAACATATGGGTCGGTCTCTCTTCTTAGACTCTTACTCCTCCTGAGATTTTTGTCTTGCCTCCTAAATCCTTTCATCTTCCCATTTTTGCTTTGAATATCTCCTCGCTTTTTGGCAGCAAATATTTCATCACAAACTTCCACCTGGAATTTTTGTTCGTCACATCAGTATTCCTCATGCCCTCAAGTTTTGTGATCAGACTATAATCTCTATTGAACACTGTCTCCAAAACACTCACTGTATAAAAGATAAATAAAGAGTTATTCTTCCATTAGAGCAAAAACTGCAGTATATATTGTCAGGTAAAAAACTTTGGCTGATACTCTCATGCTGCTTCTGTAGCCAAGCAATTTCACTCCTGATAATTTATCATCCTCTTCTAGTGCTCGATCCATAGGGGTGTGTTTATGGCATACAATGCCAAAAAGTGAAACACAAGATGAACATTATCTGCCATCAGAATCGTAATAAAAGTAGCATAGCAAAACCATGTGTACAGTATCAAGAAAATCGCAGAAAAAAATTAAACTTTAAATTACTAAAGCACATCTTTATTTTGCAATTAAACAATTAAGATCCACAAGTAAACTATATATATATTTTCAAGTCTGTACCTAGACAACTATTTGTCAACTGAAATTAAATATATCCACAAAATATGCATAACAGCATTTTTTCACATAATAGAATGAAATTTTACTTAAGACTAAAACAAGACTTGTTAAATGTTAATTAGCATATTTATCCTGGGAACTGCTGGTTTTCGGTAGAAGTTAGTGTATCATTTTAATGGCAAGAAATTTCATTTTATCAAAATGAGGACAAATACATAAGGCCCTTTAAAGCATACAGTAGCTGCAGTGACAAAAGCTGAATTTATTTTCACATTGTCCAGTGTTGACCAATTTCAAGTTTCCATCATTTTCAATCAACCACCCTGGCTGTTTAGCCAAGATGTTGTGTTTAGGGTTTGTTTGTTTTTTTCCTCCCCCTCATGTGCTTTTAAACAAATTTATAGGCAAAAGCCTACTTATGGGAAGAACCTTCCCATCCCCCCAACATTAATAAAGATACACAAGAGTTAGTCTAAACAACAAAAGAGCAATTCAACTCTGAGATGATTTACTTCACACTTGCAGTCCGTCATTCAGCAGTATGAAACTGAGATGAAATTTGACAACTGAAAGCCACAGCTGGAAATGCAAATTAATTACCAGAAGTAACTAGCAAAAAATATTGCCACCATCTGATTGTTAATAAGGATCTAAATAATATTCTTCCCTTTGTATTTACACATAGTATAGCACCTGTTACAGAAAAAAAAACCCCAAACCTTACACAAACAGCCCTGCCAAATTGACTGGTTAAAATGGGATCACTGGTAAATGAACCAAACCAAATGGAAAACAAATCTGGATAGACTGGATAAAATAAAACCTT